GAATTCTCAAATGTTAAACTAGCCAAAATAAAGAGTCTAAGCATATTTTTCATCATGAAAAAAGATTGAACCGGGTAGAAGAGGTTTAACAGATGTTTTCTTCCTCATATAAAACCCGAAAAGATTATAACATGTTGTACTTTCATCATCCTTTTTTCCATATATTATTGTGCGAATATTTTCTTTTACAAAATGTACTCAAAAATATGCTTAGACTCTTTATTTTGGCTAGTTTAACATTTGAGAATTCACAGTCGACTACGGCACATTCTATGGTGCGAATCTGACTGCTTGAAACTACAATATCGTCAAAATCTAAGTTCTCCATCACAAGAGTCACAGAGTGATTCTTTCGAAGTTGAGATCGATCTAACTCTTTACCTACAGCGTATGAGTATGAACGCTGTAAGCCATCTTGAATAGCTCATCAAGTTCTACAAACTGGTATTTTTATCCCATTGAAAACGGAGACTGACACTTGGGGACCTTCCTGCGTAAGTACTTTCCCATCATCCTTCGTAGCTAGAACAAAACTTTTCATTGGAATAAATTATTTATCTAATGAGGTATATTTTACGCTGTTTGAATCTGAAAAAAGAGCACTTCCAATTTTTAGCCGAATATCTCCATCGTTGCCCACTATGGCTGTGTGAGTGATCTTATTTTATAGAGAATAGTTCATGCGATAGTGCACCGTGTTTAATTTAAAAATGAAAAAAGAGTTACTATTAATGAGAAAGTGATACTTAAACTAGGGACCCGAATGTTCGGATACGATCTTTAATTTTTGTAAACTCGTTCGTTTACTCCCATAACTTTCTGAAATAGTTAGCCTTCTTGTTACTAGCATCGGACGATTTCATTTTGTAAGCAAACAATACAACAAAATCATACTGCTTCATTTTTTCATTACAGCACTAAATAAGTTTTAACTATTTTCCTCCATTACAAATGTTTCATCCTAGAAAAGGAATGTCCATTTGTCCACGTATATTTATGCACAATGGAATCTCATTCAATAACAATAGAGTCATGATTAAAAGTTAGAATAGAAATAATCGACTGTGGAGACTTCAAAAATGAAGATAGTGGATATCTACGAGATTTGTGCGCAGTCATTAGAAAATTTTTAGATTTTATTCATCTTTTAGTTACGTAGTTTTAGTCTTGAATGAAAGAAAAATGTTGTCTAAAAAATTAGATGTCGAACTCTCAAATTCAAACGTTCGAAATCTCTAATTCAGATAAAACATAAAATATTTCTCACTTTTAGAATTATCTCAAGAATATCGTGATATTTATGACAAATGTCCTAATAAAATAAAAACACAAATAGATCAAAATAGACATTTAAAGGTAAATAACGCCGGTTTTTTTTTTTTTCGTCTTCTACAGAAAGATAATTTTTTGTATAGAAATTAAATTCATCTCAGTCATTTCAACCATCATCTAAATCAACTTCAGTCATTTTATCAGGATTAGCACAGACATCTGTTAACAATACTACACCACTTACTAATCACAATTCACAAGTTAAACCAGTCATGTCTCATATGACACCAGTTAAACTATCTGAACAGTTTTCAACTACTGCACCTATATCATCTCCATCCATTCTTAATACTCCATCAACATCGATATCAATTCATCCATTATCGGGAAATAATCTCTTAAAAAAGCCGGATGATCATAATTATTCTCGAATACCATCATTGATGGATGGACTAACAAATATAGCACAATCACAACAATCACCAACAATAAACAATCGTTCATTTCCATCAACACCTCAACAACATCAAATGTTTATTACACCACCGTTCAAATATCCACCAACACCATGTTCATCAATTCGATTTCATGGATTTCAATCAGGCATAATGAATAAATCACATCGTATGTTGAAATAATAATTAAAAAAAAGATTTTTATAATTCATAAAAATGAAATTGAAAATTATTTATATTTCTTTTCTAGATGATGAACGTTATACTCATAATGGGATGATTCGTTCTCAATATTCAAATATGAGTACACCCTCATTCTCAAATATTCAGTCACAAAATTCATTATTTCAATCAACAGTAAACGGTAATAATTATGGTCGTACTCTCAATTCTAATGTATACGAATCATTAATAAAAGATAATTGTGAAAATAACAAACGTTTATTACCATTCAATATTCAAAATACAGAAAATAATTCAAAACGTTTTCGTCATATTGAACAACAACGACAAGATTAGGAAATTTTTTAGTTTTATTTTTACTTATTTGTTTGTATACTAAGAGAATGATTTATTTTTTTTTTCTTCTTCTATTTCTAATGTATTTTTATGATAGGCTGAACTGTGTGTATGTGTTTTTTCTTCTTCTTTTGTTTAATCAAAATAGAACAGATCAAATTAAAACAAACGCAATGAGAGTCTGCATTTATAATGTAGAAAGAGAGTTCGATCGAAGATGCATCAATTCGTTTTGATCAACAACTATCCTATTTGACATGTTGAAATTTACAATTGGCCGATATGGAATAGATAGATTATTTGAGTTACAGATCAATATTTTAATTCCGTTTAATTTTTATTTAAAAATATTTAACAAAACAAAAGTTTCAACTTCTTTTATTGAGGTCTTCTTCAGTGAACTTAATAAAATATATATAAAATTTTTTAAAATTCTGTTACATATATCGCTGCCCACTGCAGCTTTAACATTTTAGTTGCTATTGCTTTTGCTGCTAATACTAAAATGTTAAAGCTGCAGTGGGCAGCGAGATATGTAACAGAATTTTAACTATTTTTATATATATTTTATTACGTTCACTGAAGAAGATCTCAATAAAAGAGGTAGATAATACTTACCTCTTTTAACTGGTGCATACCTACTAGATATGCACCAGTTACAGCTTTTTACCAGTTAATTGTACTTGTATAACTGTTAAACTGCTGATTACGGTAACTGCTCATAATTGTAGGTAAATATTCTGGAGTGAGTGTACGATTTGTCTAAAAGACTAACTCACTCTAGAATATTTACCTACAATTATGAGCAGTTACAGTTTTACAGTTAACTGTAACCAATGCATGCCTAAAAAGAGGTCGAAATATTTGTTTTATTAAATATGTTTAAATGAAAAGGCAACTATTGTTTTGCTACGTAGTTTTTATTAAACGCTAAGTTAATTTTTGTTAATCCCTACTTTAGTAAGCTATATTTTTGTATGTCTAGGGGTGGTTGTGGGGGGAGATGCGTGGAGAGCATGAGAGTGAGCTATTAAACCACATTTCTGCAAAAAATATAATTATTTTTAATAAATTACGTAGAAAAAATAACTTTTTACTTAGCATTTAATAAAAATTACTTCGCATTTAAATGGGAGCCAAATAAAATACGGAATTAAAAGCATCGACCTGTAATTCGAATAAACTATCCTGTTGTTGGTCGATAATATAGCCTCCGGACATTTCCGCATAGATTCAGATACTTCACATGTATTACTTTTATCCTGTGAAAGTGTAGTATTACAAGGCAGATTTATACATCAATTGTTTGACTGAATAACTGAATGTCATCGTTCAGAGCACAATTATATACAACTGACACACTTCATTCACAAAATTATATCCAAGATTAGCCATTTGAATCGTATCAGATGTGAATTATTGAGAAAGCGATAAAACGAGATTCAAGTCATCGATATTCATTGAATTTTTAAAGATTTTTCTACTTCTAATATGATATACGAATTACGGGTGTTCAGTTCCTGTTCTGAACTTAGAACAGAACTGTCATTCTCGATTCTCAGCTTAGAACCGGAAAATAATTTTTTAGACAGTAAACAATTCAACGAAATCGAGTTTATTTTATAGTAAATGAAAGGATTCTTTTAAATGATGGCAGGCAAATATATCTTTTTGCAATTTTGTCAATATTGTGCTTTCATTTTGTTAAAAGAAAAACAAGTCAACAAGTCTCGGTTCCGAAAAAAGAAACCGTCTAAGGAACAACGGTTCCGATTCCCGTCGAAGAACCGAAAATAAGAGAACCGAACATCCCTAATGCTAATTGGCCATATCTGCTACCGGAAAGCTGAGTGCGTTACCATTTTTAAGTTACTTCAAAACGTTATAATTTTTTAAGAAAAAGTTGCACAACATCTTGTTAAAACGAAGATTCGGCGTTCTTCAAAACTGGATTTAAGCAAACTCCTGGAAATTGTTCTTTCGGGCGGTACCTTGAAGAAAAAAGTGATCCCTCAGCTTGTTTTTTTTCAAAATAGTACCTTCCAATTGTCTTGTATATATCGTTTGAATGGAAAATGTTTAGGAGTTTGCTTAAATTCCCATTTTGAAGAATGTTGAATCTTCATTTAATGAGATGTTGCGCAACTCTCCACAACTTTTCTTTAAAAAATTATAACGTTTTGAAGTTACCTAATAACGGTAACGTACTCAGCTTTCCGGTAGCAGCGTTACGTGGAATGGTCACAATAAGTGAACATCAAATTTGTGATCAATATTAAACATTGTAAAAAGAAACTGTGTCCTGAAGTGAATCGCGTTCAAACTGTGACACAGTTCTAGTGCTCTGCAATGTGTCTTCGATAGAATGTACCTTTATTCTCCTATTTGTTTTCCGATAGCATGTCTAATATAAATAACACTCAAAATTTTACCTACGAGGGAACGTTCTTAAGTGCCCCCTGGCTTTTTCAACGAAACCTGGTGGGTTATAGGTTATCGATGATGCTGATTCCGAATATGAATATGAGAGCTGCTCTTAGGGCTTCGAAGATCTGGTTTTCTGAAAAACCCATTTTTCAGAAACTCTGAAAAATAACCAAAGCATCTCTTAATGAGCCATGCTTGTAGCTCGCTCATTTTTTATTAGAATGAGACCTCTCCCAACTCTACACGACCTTTCTTTGCAAAGTTATATAATTTACAAGAAAAGTCCTAAATATTTATTGTCAACTCAAAGCTACAGAAATGCGAAGAAATTAATTTAGGATTTTTCTTGTAAATTCTATAACTTTGCAAAGAAAGGTCGTGTAGAGCTGGAAAATGTCTCATTTTAATTAGAAATATGCGGGCTAAAAGCATAGCTCACTCAGAAAAGCTTTGATTGTTTTTCAGACTTTCTGAAAAACGGGTCTTCGAAGCCCTAAGAGTAGCTCTCATATTCATAGTCGAAATTAGCATCATCGATAACCTATAACCCATTAGGTTTCGTTGAAAAAGCGAGGAGGCACTGAAGAACGTTCCCTCGTTAGAAAATCGAAAATTATAAAATAATAATAAATATAATAGAATTCATTGAAGCTCGAATCTTGATGATTGAAATCCCATCGTAAAAAAATATCTTCGATAAGTGAGTGACTAGAGTGCAAACAACTTGGATGAACCTGTCAGAGAAACTGTATAATAGGCTCAGAAATGTCCTGTTATTTATTCTACATATTTTCTTAGAATTAACCGAAAAAGCGCTAAACAGTACATGTTATTTTGCTTGTAGTTCTTCCGAAATGTTTGATGTGAATATCTAATCATATACCTTTAAATGTGTCCGATTCCTTGCATATAGTCGAATATCGGTAACTGGAACCTCGTTTTATCGCTTCTTCAAAAATCGATATCTTACATAAGTCAAACGATCAACTTCTGATATCTTCGGTACAAGGCTTGCTTTTGCCTTATATTACCATTTTTGATGTCATTTCCATGTAGTATACCTTGTGTACGACATTTTTGGATTCTCAGTGTATTACCTAACGATCTACTAATTGCAGAAAAATCCCCCAAAAAAGATAGGTGAAACACTAAAATCTAACTATTTCGGTGTCTATATGGAGCTTCAATTTCATATTTTTCGTAATAATGAGCAATTTTATATCTCGTGTTCTGAACAGTTTCGACACACTCTTGGCATCTAAACTATGGTCGATCAAAAGTTACCCTACAGTTTTTGTAATATTCTTAACAAATAAAACCATCAGCATTACTCGAACATTCAACATTTTCAGATCTTAGAACAGGAAAATGACTGATTAATCAGGTGTATATTGAAAGCAACTTGTGTCTGCAGGGCCGGCTCAAGCCAATTTTCAAGCGTGTGTCAAAAATGTTTTTGCGCCTTTTTGTATGAAAAAATTTTGATAGAATTTTTGTTTTTCACTAAATTTATTAATTATCATTTAGATTTTGTATAATAACATTTGTGTATGGTTTTTTATATGAATAACGACGCGCCTTTTGATTCTTCGCGCCTGTGCGTTGGGCACGCCCAGAACACGCCTTCAGCCGGCTCTGTGTGTCTGAATTTTATGCGTTTGTCTAGTATATGCCATATTATGGCTCCCCCTATATCTACCCCCTGATCTGTTTTCTTTGGCTCTGGTAAATTGAACATGTTTAGGGTGGTATCTGATTTTATTCTAGTTATCATCATATATCTGCGAAAAGTATTGAAATTAGCATTCTCTTGTTTACCTACCGATATGATTGGCTCGCACCCTCTAACGTCCATTTTTCCATATTTTACCAACACAAGTCTTTGATAAGAATCTTACCAAAGACTTGTGATCTTACCGTAAGATTGCTGACTAACTATAAATTATTAAAAGTCAAGTAAATGATCTCTGCATGATTTCAGATTATAAAGAAGAAAACTAGATTGTGAGTTAAAAGCAGTTGCTATTAGCCAAAATTACTTAAACTAAGTTACATTAAAAACAAAAACAGTTTTAGGAAGAACGACCGTTTGTTTTCTAAAATTCCGTACGTGAAAGTAGAAATCCCAAGATTGTGAGATTTTTTCACAGTTCTGGGAGCCGTATCACGAAAAAACTTAAGTCAAACTTAAGTGTATAAAATTAGCAGGTAAGTGTACATAACGAAGACTTAAGTTTTCTGTGATACGGCCCCCTGCATTTCATTTTCACAATCTGAAATTTGAAAATTGTGCACCATGATAAAATCCTATGATGAAAGCTTTTTACGCAATAACGACGTAATTTCTCGGCGTACAATGTTTATTTTGTTTATCGGTTGAAGAAAAAAGACGTTAATTACGCCAACACATAGCTGAAGAAAGTCGAGAAGGAGATTGTTTTCAACTTTTCTTGTTTTAAGGCAGTAGTTTATCTTCATTTCAAAAGAATGAAATGACTTTAGTATGATTTTGAGAGTGAGGCTTTGTACAATACTAACGAATATTTGATGTGTTTTTAAGACTAGATTATTTTTTATTTTTCATTTTAGATTTCTTCTATTTAAGAAAAAAAAGCGTTCAAAATGGGTAAAGGTTATGAGAATTATATGTCAAAAAAATGGTTTCATCCGACAAATATCGGAAATATGAAACGCATTTATATGGCTGAACAAAAATCAGATTCTGAAAAGAAAAAACAACAAGATTTACGTGAACAATATGAACGTGAACAAGAATTATTTAATAATAAACAAATGATGGGAGATGAAAAAGCACGTCTTGGTCTATCATTTATGTATAATCCACCAGCAGGTATAGCCAAAGATCAAGCACAACAAGAACAACAAGCTCAAGGTGATGATGGAAATTTTGGATTAAATAAAGAAGAACCAAAATTTGAATGGCAACGAAATGCACCACGTGAAAGTTGGGCAAAAAATGATGAAAAAATACGTGATCAACCATTTGGAATCGAAGTTAGAAATGTAAGATTAAAATTAATACATTTAAACACATTGTAACATAAAAAAAGAAAAACGCAAACTAATCTTCTTTTTTTTTTATCTTTTTAGGTTCGTTGTATTAAATGTAAAAAATGGGGTCATATTAATACGGACAAAATTTGTCCACTCTATGGTAAATCTCGTTTGGATACCGATTCTACAACATCATTGAATCCAAATGAACCACCTGTAGGTCGTGAGATACAATCAACAAATGATTTAATTAAAGATTTAAAAAATGATGGTTTATTAATGAAAAAATGTGTAATGATGAAAGAAAATCAGAGAAGTGGAGATTTAGAAAGTGATGGTGATGATGAAGAGAAGAAACAAGAAAAATTTATTCAAGAAAAAATGGAATTAAACTTTTTAGAAAGTTTACCAAGAAAAATGAAACATCGACTATTGAAACGTTTAAAAAAATTAGAACGACAAGGTCTTTTCACAGAAATTAAACAAGAACATTGAATATGATAGTATTTGCGTTTTATTTATTTGCTTTGTAAATATTCTAAATAAATGAATGTATAATTTTGTATGTTACACATGTTTTTCTCATTTATTTAAAGAAGAAGGATGAATGTGATTCAAGTACGAGCGATCAGTAGAACATTTACAAAAAAATCCACTGTTGCTGTCCATTTTCTTTCTATATGTTAGAAAATACCTCTTGATTTAATCTTTCATTTACACATTATTGGACTGTAGATTCAAGACTCGTGTATGTTCTTTGACAGGTTCCATACACGAATTGCCTCTGCTTCAAGGGTAAACGTTCCTTCTAAACCAGTCGAAAACACAGAGACCTGAATTTGGGGGGGGGGAGTTGCGTACCCTCCCCAAAAACAGAGTTTACACCACCTCGAACGTGAAATTTAAAATAAAGTTTACACTATATCGGACAAAAAACTTCCGCACTCTTTTTTATAACTATTTTAGATCAATAAATCAAGTTCAGTATATTTTACTGCCAGTCGTTTAAATGAATAAAATGACTTTAATAGTTATTCGCAATTTAATATTCCTGTTGTTGTTGTGCTAGTCTCACATCAGTTTTCATTAAGTTCGTTACTTTCATGTTGCTCATATATCCACCTGGAAAAAAATAGTTGCACTCAATTTTTTTAATATATCATCACTATAAAAATATATTTAAAAAAAAAAATTATATATTCTGAAAGCGCTCGAAGTTCTCTATTACCCCGTATATTTATGTCTTATTTTATATTTATTTACTGAAAAGTAAATTAAATGCAATGACGGGTCCCTCATCGTCAGATTCCCATGAACTGCATTTTTGTTACAAATTTCTTCAATTTGTTTTTATATAAATAATTATATATTCTGATAGCGCTTGAAATTCTCTATCATCCTATATATTTATAGCGAAAGAGTGCACTTTATTGTACTTGAAAAACTTACTCTGTCGTGCTATCATATTTGCGAAAGAGATAGAAAAAAAGGCAAAACTGTTCAGGAAAACCAAGAAAAATCACTTTAGAAAGTTGCACATGTTACAGCTTTTCAGTATTCTTTATATAATTTTTCTTTATGTTTTTCAACAATAGTTTTGACATATTCTTGTAGAGAATTGAATGGTGAATCTTTTAAAACAAAATTTGGTCCGTTCGAATAAAAACTGACGAAGTTATAGCGAAAACAAAAAAGTCCCATTCTTTATGGGACACCCGTTATTTTGGTTTGCTTTTAGTGCATGTCATTCTGAACATTTAACGTGAAATTTTTCTGAAAAATAACATACGACAGCAATTCATAAGATCAAAGGTACATTTGACATAAACATCACAGGAGAAGGGTCACCGAGCAGACTTAACGATATTAAGTAAAATTTCTTGTAATTAGACTACGTGTCTATAGCTTCAATTCCAATAAATGCTATGAAGTTGATATGAAAATTGCTTAGACGTGAGAAACGAGAAAAAATTGTTGAATCTTTTTTTTGATAAATAACAGACGTTGATAAAAATCATTTAAAATTCTTTGTTTTAGATCATTTGTTGATACTTACTGCTAATTTACTTGGGATTTGTGCTGAATCACTCACTCATATAATAAAACAAAAATATTCTTTATTTTTTCATCATATTTTATCATTTGGACAATCGAAACGAAACTTAAATGAACAAAAGATGGAAAAATTAGTAAAAGTGTGACTAATTTTCTGAAAGTTTTTGAACATGTAACATGTCACTTGTTGAAAAGTTGGACTACCTCTGAAGAGTCGAACAAACGATATGAGCGAGAAGAGATATCGATTATGTTATTATAACAACATGTTAGAAATCGTAAGTGTAAGATCGTATCGTCGTCATAACTTTGGTCAACTTTAATCCAATAGGCAGCCACGATTGCGTCAATATCAATGAGGGTTCGAGTTGTACTGTTAAGTGTTATTGAATAACTTTAATTCAGCACTTATTAGTAATAAAATTTTCATTGTTGTTTGATGCCAGTTCAGATATTCGTAAACAAGCTGACGATGATATTTGTCAATTATAACTGGCATTCAAAAATTTATGATATTAACAAATAGTCAAAATGGTACATATGATTTTCAAACAAATTAATCTGAAATGATGTAACAAAATGAAACTATTTGATGGTAAGACAACAATAACATTTAAATTTGAGTAAATATCCTGGTATGTAATAGATTTCATTAGCTGTATCTCACTAACTCTATTTTCTTTTCCGTTTCTAGTTAATGTTAAAGCTAATTGTTTTGTTCTACTCTACCATTAATCAAATTAATTCAAGAATCGAATATTGAAGAGCTATTAGAAGAAGAAAAAAGTGATCATAATTTTTGACGTAGTCAAACAAGTCAACAGCTGTATCCATCATGTTTAGACATGCATCGGTTTCGGTTTTTAACCGATTAATCGAAAATGTTGCACAAGTTCTTGAAAATATGCTTAACAGAATATGAAGGAACCATCTGTTGTTCAATCAACAACTGTTCATCCCGGAAGAAAGATGCACGGTGTACAAAATCAGAAATAAGCCAAATAAGTGATATTTCTGACTTTTCACCGTGAAGGAAGAGTTCCTCAAAATTGAGTTTAGCAACAAAATATGCCAAATTTAATTTTGTAGATTTTATCTATTGGATGCACCTTTATACAAATCGATCTTCACGATAAAAAGTGATACAGCTTTTCGTATCACTTTTCGTATCACTCGTATCAGAACTTGTGCAACATTTTCGATTAATCGGTTAAAAACCGAAACCAGTACATGCCTAATCGTGTTAGAGGATTCAAAATGATGTAGAACAGCTTGAGACTTGCAGTTTTCAGCATGCGAAAGACAGTCATATTTTTTATATGGACATGTCAAATCTTGGAATCAGGAGAATTCTTGGTGAACATTTTAAAAACAATATGCCGAAGGCATTTACCTTTGGGTTTAGAGTTTTGACGTGACCATTCAATAGGAAAAATTGTTCTCTTTCGATCCGCATAAGACCGAGTCCGCTAGCGTGTTTCGTTCAGGAGTTATAAGCATTTTCCCGAGAGTCCTAAACGGCATTTTCTGTGATTTTCGACCCTTCATCGAAGTCAAATCGCCGAACAAAGAGTATATTCAGAATCAGGATACAAGACTGCGTCGAGTGACATGTCTTTAATCTTCATTTTATGACTTTCATTTTTTCACATGCCATGATCCACAGAGCGGTATGATAGTTTAGTGACAAAAATGAAAAAAAAATGAAAGTCATAAAATGAAGATTAAAGACATGTCACTCGACGCAGTTTTGTATGCTGATTCCGAATATACT